TCCTGTCTACTTTGAAGCAGCAGGTGTAGTCAGTCATTGCTTTGGTAGGTTACCTTATGGAAATTAGTATGTAATACTTTCTCATTCTTCAGTGTTCTGCCTTTCTAAGTAGAATGGAAATCAAGTATCAGTCTACTGGGATGTGTTGCATTCATTTAGTAATAATTTGGAAAAAAGTATATCCCACACAAATTAAATGAAAACTAGCAGTTTTAAAGTATACTATAACATCTTGTACAAATTCCAGCTTACATTATTCCTGGTCATGCAGTAGAGTCTGAAGAAAAAAGGGCTATGGATAATCAGTTAAAAGAATGACAGATTCCCTGATGTGTTGATCAGTAGTAATACCTAATTTCGATTTCAAGTGTGCTATAATGGATTACCATATAGATGCAGCTCAGCACTGAGCATTAAATAGAGCCATGTGTTTTTCAGAAAAGTAATATTTATTCACACTGTGTGGCTTTCTTGAAATTTTTTTATTTTTATTCTCCATTAAAACTACAAACAAGGTGTCAATAGCTTATGTGGCGTTCACAGCAGTATAGCTGAGAACATCAGCTGCAGTAAAGGAAATGCCAGATTATATCTGTCTCAGTCTAGGCAGGCTTTGTCTGGGACTTTCTGAGGGACAAGCTTAGCATTTAGACATAGGTGATTGTGTTGGGCTTTATTTTTATTGACTTCAGAGACTTCAGTGCATAAAAAATAGCCCCCTAGTATTTGGGTGCAAAAAGAAGCATCAGTATGGGTATTGTTTCAGCTTGTGAACTGTTGTATGAGATTCTGTCCTTTTGGGAATATTCTTAGTAGCTTAGTAGTATTGGTTGTGATGCTACATATCCAAACCTTACCGAGTTTATATTTTAGTAAAGAGCATCCATTTCATTAGTCTGAAACTTTTATCCAGAAGTGGGGAAGATGAGAGGCCTGACCTCAGAATAACTTGGAGATTACTTTTGTGCAGACTGCCAGTGTCCTTATCATCTTACTGTATTTTCTGTTTTTCCTGATATTAAAAGGGTGCTTTTCTCTGTTGTATACTAACAAAAGACGATCTAAGCCAAGACCATACGTATGTATTTTGGGAAACTGAGAAACATGATTTAGCATCACTGGTTTCTTGACTAAATTAAAGGTCTGAAAAACAGTGTTTATGGTAGACATTCATCTAGTTCAAGATAGGACATATCCTGAATTGTTAATGCTCTCAGTACTTTCTATACAAATTATTTAAATTAAGTGGAAAATGAGATCAGAAAATGATCCTGGAATGTTGCTGGGTGCCAGGTCTGCAATGAGGAAGAGCGCATGAGAGGGACATCGCATTCCTCCCCTGCCATTTGCTAAGGTGGAGTGGACTGCAAAGAAGGGGGCAGGAAAAGTGCAGTAAGGCCTTGAAGTAGGCCTTACTTCATTACTTACATGTGAATGTCAGCTGAACAGCACAGAAAGGGAGCTGAATTAATATAAAAATCAGTCTGTTATGTCTTGTTAAGTTCCATTACATTAAAAGGGAATCACAAGGAGTAGAAAAGTCATTTGTCTGTGGAAAGCTTAATAAGAACCCATGTGAGCATTATCCTCACGTTAGATAGAGCATATGTCCAGAACATAATTGTGAGCATTCCTGGAGCATAGAACACAACACACCAGGTATGCAAGACCATCTAGAGTTACGGGCAAGAAAGAGAAAATGTTGACTGGAAGATAACATTTCTCAAAAAAGATGAGCAACACATTTATGAAAAAATTCTCAGCATCACTAATCATTAAGGAAATGAGAATTAAAAATCACTTCATACCTTTTATGTTTGTTGTTACCCCAAAGATAAAAGATAACGAGTGTTGGCAAGGAGGTGGAGGAAGGGGAGCCCCTAGTACGCTGGGACAGCAGTTGTGGAAAACAGTGTGGAGGTTCTGCAAAAAGCTCTACCTAGACCCACCACATGATCCAGCTTTCCCATTTCTGGATGTGTATCCAGAGAATTGAAATCTATTTGTCACAGAGACATCTGCACTCCCATGTTCTTCAAAGCAGTATTCACGTAGCCACCATATGGAACCAGTGTCATTGGCTATCAGTGCATGGATGAATAAAGAAAATGGGGGCTAGCTCAGCAAAGAAGTATTATCCAGCCTTTAAAAAGAGGGAAATCTGTCATTTGCAGCAATCTTCAGATTTCCTAAAGATACGTGTGGAGGACATACTAAATGTTAAAAGCCAGCCAGAAGATGACAGAGGCTGTAGGACCTCAGTTCTGTGTGGAATCTTAAGTTTAGCTTAGAGCAGTAGAGAGTAGATTCTTAGTTATGAGAGGCCATCTAGAGGCAGTGGAGCCGTGATAAGCATATGTCTATGGATGTGTTTAGGGTAGAAGGGCTTGGTCAGAAGGGAGAAGAGGCAGAGAGGTAAATGTATGATTTGCCTGCCAGGTCAGTCTCTTGTAAAATGTTATCACGGTTTGTGGACATCTCACATTGGCTTTTTTTGCAAGAACCAGGTCTGCCTCCACTGTGCCTTTCCATTCTGTTAAGAACATTAAATCACCACAAGACTCTTGTGCCAGGGATCTTTTTCTGGTTCCAGTCCTCTCCCAGAATCTGGACCATATCACTGCTCTGCATTCTTTATTTTTTTATTATTATTGTTATTATTTTTTTATATCAATCTGTACTGTTTAAGAAGTTGGATTCCCTCTTGTTGCTGTCTGGCTTCTCTTTGGGTTTGTTATTTTCACCTTCCTTCATCTTCTCACGCTTTTCCTTGGAAAAGCCTTTCCATGTGACAGACTCTACGTGCCCTTAACCTTCTCCTCCTCATCTTCTGGAGAAGAGGATTCCTCTTGTCAGCTGTCCTCTTGTTTTTCATTCTTGTGTTGCTCAATTCCACCTACAGGACTAAGGCCACCAGGCTCCTTGCCATTGCTGGAACTGAGCACAGGGATTAAAAGCAGCCCTGTGTCAGGTGCATGCAGTTAAGCATTCAATAATGAATTTTATGTTTAGAATTGCTGGAAGAATAGATTTTAAGTGTTCACTGGAAAAAAATGACAAGTAGGTGAGGTGTTGGATATGTTAATTAGCTGGATAGATTCATTCCAAAAGGTATACATATATCAAAATATCACTTTTGCCTCACAGATAAATACAGTCATTTGTCAGTAACAAATTTAAATTTAAAATATAAATGAAATTGATTTTTAAAATTAAAAAAACAAAAGTTCTAGAGTAAGTGTGAAATGGAGTCTTTCTCTTTCAAGAAAAAGAAGGCAGTGATTTTTTTTTAGCATGTGATCAGCTATGTCCTGCTTTTAATGCAGATAATCAGAAATGATCCTTGATACACTTTGCATAGCATTTCATCCTTGTAGACATGAGGAATTTGTAACAAATTTTGTAATTTTATGTATAATATCTAGCATCTTGAAAAAATGGTTTTAAATTACATACTTGTGACTTTTTGATTTGGTTTTCTTTACTAATTTCAGAGTTAAACATCATTAAGCCAGTGATACCACAAGGAAGGATGGGGTACATTCTGTGTTAATGTGAATATGGGACCATTGGAGAGATCATGATCAAGTCAAAAGAATTGAAAAATTATTTGCTGAGTACTCACTGGGCACCTACTTTGTGCCAAACAGAGATCCTCTAGATGTGGGGTTGTTCCAGGGACTGACAAAGTGGAGCCCTCATGGGGCTTCTCGTGCTCTGGTAGAAGTTGTGTGGTCCCAAGGCAAGTGGGTGAGCAGGTCCTTTGTTCCCAGGTGGAGGACTGTGAAGGGAGCAGGGCAGGCCAGAACAGCATGCAAAAAGGTCTCCCTGAGGAGGTGACACATTTGAAGTGGGGTCTGCCACTGTGCAGGGCTGTGGGCAGAAGAGTTTTGTCACCTGATGTCACTTGTGTTTGATGGACATTTACCTGTTGTGGCTTCACCCGGGGGGCTCCAGTAGCTGTGTCTCCTTGTTCAGGAGGAAGTGAGGTGAGTGCATGTGTATGTTACTGACCCTTTGGCAAGTGAAGAATGGGGAACAGAAACAGACCTTGCAGCCTCTGGCTGGCTCTGCACAGGAACCCTCTGTTAGTTGCCTGCAAGTGTATTATTCAGGAGGTCAGAATATATACTTTTGACCTTAGTTTCTTTAAATGTTAGACTATTAGGCTAGTTAAATGTAGAATGGAAATTTTCACTGTAAAATACTCTTGTCAGCACTAACATGTATTTTGATGAGTTTGGGAATTTTATATATTTTTAAAATATGTAATTGTAGCCAGAATCTAAGAAATCTTACTACCTAAGAACAACTTGCCAAAATTTGTTCTACAATGAGGAAAAAAGCCGTTTTCATTGGCTAAGGATTTCCTGGATGTAGAGGGTAGTGTCATTAACCAAATACTCTTGTACATCCTGAATATGTTTTTTATCTGCCAGTGGGGCCATTGGAAACAGTAATCCTGAGACTTGTGCTTTTAGGTCATTACTTTCACAAAGGGTTTGCCACCGACTTCATTCTCCCCACTCCCTGCATTGTTTTTTGTTCTTGTCCTCTCTTTCTTTGTCTTTCTTCCAGACTGGGCTCTCTTTGTCTGGGAACTAATAATGATTATAACAGAAATGGGAAGAAGGTGAAAAAGAGGTGAATCTGGCGTTTTGGAAATTATTCTTCTAGTATTCTTTCAGTGATGAATCTTATTTAATCAAGATAGTATGATCCTTTTTTTTTTCCTTTTCTTTTGCCTCCTGTTTCCACTGGGAGAATCAAAACACATACTAATTACTTAAAACATTCAGGAAAGAAAACAAATTAAAAGAAACTATCCCATGGGAATGCATGTATAATTATTATATTACTATACATGTATTACAAGTACAATATTTATGTTAATATAGTTTAACCTTTTCTCTATTAAAACATATATTACAAATAATATAGGCCTACAATAAAAATATGTATTTTCATTTATATTTTATTAATTTTTTCTTATTTTACAGAAAATACTGCAGTTTCTACCTGAACGAATTTTCTTTCGATGGCATTACCAGAGCATAGGTAAGAACAATTTAATTTTTTTGGTTTTTTTTTTTTTTTTTTTTTTTTTTTTTTCA